AATGAATTACTGACTTGGGATTTTTGTATTAATATTTACAGAATAAATAACACTTCAGTAGATAAGAGGGAACACAATAGTAGGTAGAGTGAAAGTTCTCTATAGGAAGCACATATTTATGGGTCATTATTCTAGATCTATGGGCTCAATTTCCTATGTCCCCCAGTTCCCCAGCTTTTTGCTCAATAAATACAATAACAACTTTTCCCAAATGTTCGTTATTCACCATATTTGTAAGGTTATATTTACAATTATTTGCCTAAAAGCATAGTCTCAAATACAAAATAAAAAAGAGATACAAAACAATATTATTGGAAGTTGAAAATATGAATTAAAGAGACAGATGCAAAAACTCATAATTGAAAGTCTCATTTCAGCTTCAGCTGACATATTACACCATAAAGCTGCACAATGGCTCCAACAAACAAAAGTGAACATGAACTTGCAAAAGATAAGTCACATCTAAGATAATACAATATACTTGGAAAAACATACACTGAGGTATTTTTATTGATAGATAGGAATAGTACCCTAGATGGTAAAGTATTCTTATAGAGCCTTTAGAGAAATTATATTGATGTAATTATTTCTTTTATTTTTCACAGTTGACTAGTCAGAAATTGGACTAGCAAAAATTCTCTATCCAATATTTTTTAACGTTTGCATTTTTATTAGTTCATGTTTGTATTACATTCATTGTGGGGTGTTAGTACATGTACATATCATTATTTCCTCTTTCCCTTCTTACCTCTATCCAGTATTCTTAATGTGGGGCCATTCACTCCACACTACAATTTTCTACTAAAAAAATAAAAAGAAAAATAACTTGGGAGTGCTTAATATGAATTTCGTGGTTAGATTTTTTAATAGTTTTCCAGAATAGTGAAATATTTGACAATTATGACTTATTTTGAATTATTATTATAATTCTGTTCAAATTTTCAGTAAGAAATCATTCAAAGAAAAACCACACAATGAAATGTATCATTGCATTTTTAGACACCTGAATAAATTGGAGGAATGGAGGCTGTTTTTCTCAAAGCTGAGAATAACAATACTCCAGAAGTAATTATGTATCACACTGCTAAAGATAGAATTTATCCCCAAAGCTTCTTCTTTGATTCTTGTTTGATTCTTTACAATACCTGATTGACTCTAAAAAAGAAAGGCCACCTATGCCACCAAAGGTGTAAACTGGTTTTGATGAGTTACCTTTGACATTTGCTTATTTTAAAAATTTTATCAAATAAGATAATCTTTAAGATACTTCCTAGCCCTTAAATTCCAAGATTGTAGAATTTTTTAATCCTGAGCATTGGAACAGTTCAGTATCAAGGACAAATATCCCTTGAGGTGTCTGATGTGCCAGTGAGATCAACTGTCTCCATGCTGATGACTACAGATGTGGGAGATGATGTCCATCTGGAAGTTCAGCAGGCTCTCTCCCCAGCAGATCCTTATCTAAATGTATTTTTGTTTGCATTTCTCTATAGGCTCCCTTAGTAAACCTTGAATATCAAGGTCAAGAAAAGGCTTACTTGATCACAGACCCATCACATTCTTCTGCCATCAACCAAGACAAAGATATTGCTAGAAAATGAGCAATGAGCAGGCTTGACATTCAGTCTGAGGTTGTCCTAGGCTTCTTTTTTAGGGAAGATTCTATTCTGTTTCTTCCTGTCAGTTCTTTTATCCCATTGCACTTATTACTTTGGATATGCAACCAGATGTCATGAGAAGTGTTAGAGTATATCAAGACCCTGCCTACATAGATTCTGACAAATCAGGGACCTAGCAGACCTTCGGTTCACAATAACAATACAATATTTATATGGATAGGTACATGTCAGGAATCTTGGAGAAGCATAATTTTTCATACATAGATTTATATGTATATATATTAAATATATTATCCTAATTCAAACCAATATGTTCTCTTGCCACTTAACATTTTTAGCAGCTGTATATTCTCTTAAAATACAAGTCAGATATAAACCTACTAATTAAAACTGGGCTGCACATCTTTAACCTGACTTCTGCCAGAACATGGTGCTTCCATCATTACATCGCACCAAGTTCTTCCTAGTATACCAGTACTCTAAACTTCTTTCTGCATCCAAAACTTTCAAAATGTATATCTAACTACATAGTCTTAAAAACCTTCTAGTGATTTAAGAATGCCAAAGTCTTAATGTGAAATATTCCAGTGTTCCTCACAAAAAAATGGACCTGAAATCTAGTGCATCAGAATCATTGGAGATGTTTGATAAACTTTTCAAAATTTGAACCAGGAACTGGTGGTAATTTTAATCTCTCAGGGAGATACTAAAGGCTGCATTTTTGGAAACCATCTCCTATGACTCAAGTTGCACATCAAATTTTAAAAATTAAAGGATCAATGATATGGTCTTTTGAGGTAACATTTATTTTGATTCCAGTGGCCTTATAGAAAAATATAAATATATTGGCAACTGACATGTAGAAATAATTTCATTTAATTTGAATTATAGCAATTGCTGGAACTTTGTTTTCCTCAGGCAAACCACTGGATCTTCAGTTATTTAATCTACAAATGCCAATCATAATACTTACCTAATTCCTAAAAGTATAAAAATGGTAAATACTTATAAATATTAATCTGCTTAAAAACTATAAATTGACAAAGATCTGTAATTTTTTGCTGAAAAAGTAATGAACTGGGCAACAAATCAATATCGACAATACAAACATTTTAAAGTTTAATCAAAGTTTCAACATCCATTTGCTTTTGCCTCTGATCTTCAAACTTTCACAGGCTTCACAATCTTCTATTTTGGTGCTGCCTTTGTGGGAGCCTTAGCAGCAGACACTGCAGTCTTTTGAGATGCTTGCTTAGCCTTTTTTGCTTCCTTGGCAGCCCTGTTAGCTTGCTCTCTTTGGGACTTTCTAAATTCTGGTTCCTGATTCCTCTTGGCCATTATATCCGCGAGATGTACCAATGATGGTCCTCTGGAATTTGACTGCTCATCGTGTTTTCTTTTGAATTTCTTCCGACTGTCCCTTTTTGTGCTTTCTTCTGTACAGGACAGTCCAATTTATCTGTCAAGGATTCCTTTTGGAAAGGAATGCAGATTCACATTTTGCATTAAGAAACTGGAAAACCTTCGCGTCGGTCCAGGCATAGCGCCTCCCATGTCCTGCGTAGATCTTGTACCTGCTAAAACTGCACAGCTCGACCTTCATGGGAGTGGGCGGCAATTAAGAGGAAGGACGATGAAGAGGAGAGGATTATGCAAGATATAAGAATTCTAAATAAGCCAATACCAGTCAGTGAAATTAAAGATGTAATTCAAGACCTACCAACAAAGAAAAGTCTTGGCCCTGATGGATTCACTGCTGAATTCTACGAGAAATTTAGAGAAGACCTAATGCTGCTACTTCTCAAACTCTTTAATGAAATTGAAAGGGAAGCAACACTCCCAAATTCATTCCTGGAAGCAAGCAATACCTTGATTTCAAAACCAGAGAAGGGTCCAAACGAAAAAAGAGAACTGTAGGCCTATCTCCCTAATGAACATAGATGTAAAAATCCTCAATAAGATCCTGGCAAACAGAATGAAACAAATAATCAAGATTATAAATCTAGACCAAGTAGGATTCATCACAGGGACTGAGGAACGTTTCAACATACATATATCAATAAATGGAATACACTACATTAACAGATCTGAGGACAAAAACCAAATGATCATCTCAATAGATGCACAAAAAGCAACTGACATAATCTTCAAACTTCTTAGGACATTATTTGCCCTAACTTGTCTATCAATCCACAATCAATTCACAGTTCTCAATCCAGTTTTCAATCATTCATACATACAGTACATTTTTCTTTTCAGCATATTACTTGCTGTACCTGGAAGCATTACCATCTATAAAATATTATTTTTGCTCAGAATATGCTATAATTGATAAAACATACTCTCTACAAAAGTTAATATCACACTCCATTTCTAATTATTTTCTGGATCTAGGCTCTTCTATATGGAGTTAAGATATCACCTCACTATTTCTGTAGATTATTTTATTGATTTTAACATCTTCAGAGGTAAAGATAATTTGGATGTCTATCAATTAGTGGTGGCTAAATGGGCTCATGTATGTGGGGAGTCTTTCACTTAAGTCATTGAGATGATTTAGGGATGTATGTTATAGAGAGTGGTAATGTGTTTACACAGAATTTAGATTATAGATACCAACACCAATCAGAATTGGGCACAATGTATTGCAGCAACCTTTCATCTAAGCTCAAATTATAAAACCCTGACAGATACTCAATGGTACTTGTGATCAAAGGACACACAAAGGATATTTCACTTGATTATACTACAAGTAGTTAGCTTGCTTCCCTAAGGACTTCAGTCTGTTAGTACATGAACTTCAAGTGCATGTTTGAAGAGCCATGTCATGCAAGGAAACTTGATCTTCAAAGAACCTCGGTTACCTGCAAAGGACTCTTCTTATGCCAGATATACTAAAGATATCATAGGGTAAATGAGTAAAGGAGAATTAGCAAGCACACTTTTTGCTGTTTTCTCATATGAGGCTAATTCAACAAAAATAATCACTAAAGAAAGGAGAAACCAATGATCAACATAGTATAAAAATATTAGCAATTAGGTTTTTATTTAATAGTACAGGAAGAGTTAAATGAATGAGGTATTGGGCCAATCCAAGAGGAATATTATTCTTCTATAAAATGGTTCAAGGAGTTATGGAAATTACAAATTTCTAAGAATTAAAGGACTAAAGATTAAAATAGGAAACTTTATGGAAACTTGGAAAATTTGTGACAAGGAGATGCTTTAACCAGATTTGTAACCAAGCATATGTACTTCTGTAAAAGACAATAATGTATATGTTTAAATTTTCCATTTGCTTATATAAAATTATATATAAAAATTCATATAACTAGCCATGTAGAAAATATTATATACTTTAAAAAACATTGAATAAACGAGTTCATGTTCTCACAAAATTTTAATACTGTCACATTAAGAAAATGATCCAAAACACAAATATCTCTTAAATTATAAGACAACATTGAATATGAAAGCTGCTTCTCAAACATTTAAAAGTGAATCAGGCTGTCCTTTGGCTTCTTTATAAACAAACAGGAAACTCGAGTAAAAATACAGCAAATTGTTGATAGCAATCAGTATCACAACAAAGCCAGATGAGATTTCTGTAGCTTCCAGGTGTCTTCATAACAGAAATAAATGACTCCTTAAAAAATAAAGCAAAAGAAATTAGGGAGAAGACAAATGACTTCACAGTTTAGACTATGTATTTGCTATTCTACATGCCTAGTTAGAAAAACTCAAACACATTATCTAAGTTTTTAACATAATTTTACAAAGTGATATTGAAGATCATATTGCTAACAGAAAATAATATTTTAGTATACTATAATATATATACACACACACATATATACATATATTTATGGTTATATTTCTGTAATACATTTTCTATTTCTTTCCTTATTTTTTTTCTCATTTTGAAAACAGCATACTGCAAGAATGACATTACAGTTACCGTTAAAGCAGTTTTCAAGCTTGAAACAGTTTATCTTTCCCCAGCAATCTATTATCTTGAGGGAGTAACCAGATGAAACAACCAGAGATAATGCTATACTTCAGTAAAGTATCTAAGTTTATTCTATTATTTTTAGAGTATGTGCTCAAGGTAATCTAGATCTTATATGAATAAAGACTATGGAGAGGCCTATCTTCCCCAAGAGAAGTATTTTCCCTCAAATACACACAGAAAGCATAAGTTATTATTTAGTGATTACTTATAAAGTATATTTTAACTCTAATCTTTATATATTGTAAAGGTACAGGAAGTTTAAGTTTTTTAATAACTTTTTTAACGGTTATGAATTCAATTTTAACAACAGTAGAAGGTATACCCTTCAAAAATGACAGTTTAAGGACTTCAAAACAAACTTAAAAGACATTGATTCCAGAATTGATGCCTAGGTTCTTCAGAGTTTCAAGAACAAAGTGTTTCAGTGAAGCCTGTTTGTTAATTAATGGATTACAAATCAAATCACCAAGTTTCTCAGAACCCAATATTCTAAGTATCAAAAGGGTAATTTAAAGACTGAGCTGGGAATAATAATAAATGAAATCAATGTATTTAATTTCACACTCCACTAGTGTTTCAAAACTTTTGAGTAAAGACATACACAAAGAGGCTTAAAGAGGAAACATAAACATTTTAATACAAATTACATTCATTCCGTAAGAAAAGTATGAAACTAAGAAAAGCTCTAAAATGGGAAAAAAATAAACATTGTGTGAAACTAGGCAGCTGTTCTATTTTCAAAGTTAACAGACCTTCTCAGGTGTGATGACTGTTAATAATACATATGTTACAGATACACGTTTTATTCCCTTTTAGGAGAATTAAGATCTGAAAATAATAATAATACCTCAATAATACATATAACTTCTTTTTACATACATATGTTCTAGTGACAAGGGAGGAAGAGGAATTTATTTTTAAGGACAGACAAGACCTTCATTGATCACTACTGCTACAAAAAGTGTAAGTTTACTACTGTAAGAAATGAAGTAGAAAATATATTTTATTAGAAAGAATACTAATAGGCAGAGTAGATTAGAAGTCTTAGTTCTATAACTTTTAAAGGTGCACAGATAAATGAGAGGGATTAGCTTTGCTGTAAGTACATAGGATGGTAACAATATAAGGGGTGATCCAAAAAATACGCTTGTTGAAATTTTTAAAACGTGTTACAGTAAAAGATATATTGCCATTACTTCCCCCTCAAAATACTCCTTTTCCCTTTGAATGGTTTTATCTCATCAATTCTTGCCACTTTCTAAAGCAATTCTAGTTCTCTCATGAGTGTCCTTACTATGTATGATCAAAAATATGGTGAATACTGCTGCGAGTGCCACCCAAGGCTGGCTTGTGTAAACATTAAGGTATGTCCTCATTCACCTTATTCACTGGATCTGACACAATCTATGAGATATACAGAAAAATATTACACACAACCGTAAAATATACATTGCCTCAGAGCCATGTAAAAAAGGTAAAGAGCACATAAAGGCTGTAATTGCTTCCCTTGTTGAACTCCTAAATTTTTATTACATAGAGAACATTCTCTAACCAAATTAAACTCAGAAAGAGTATCTTCCCACAAACATACAGCAGAAAACTTTAAAATTGTTTTTTAAAAGAAACTCATGAATCAAAGAAGTATAACACATAATAGAAAATGCCATGAATCGAATGATTGTGAAAATACTTAGAGGAAGTCAAGAAATGTATAACCTTAAGCGTTTGAGAAAACAAAGGTCCAAATATAAGAGATTATCTTATAAAAATCAGAATGAACAAAAATAGTACTTTCCCACTCATAATTAGAAGGGAAGAAATGATCAAGATATCACTAGAAATCAATGAAACAACATATGACAGTGGATCATAAAAAGCAATCTTTGAATCTAAAATGAATAAACACCTGAAAAGAGTGATCAAGTAAAGTATTAGATAGATATTACAAAAGATATCAGGTATATATCATTAGGTCAATTTAAAACAGGATTAGATACACTTGCTAGTGCAGTTCTTCCAGTTCTGCACAAAGCAAATACTCAACAAACATTTGGATCAGCGAGTACAATTATCTTCTTACATGCATTTTACTAAAACTAAGCTCAGTATGTTTGCTGCATATGGATTTGGCAAAGTAATTCCTGAGACCCCAGGCAATCTTCATGGTTTTCAATGACATTAGTTCCAGCTCCTGACATGTTACGGGCCTTTGTGTGTCTTTAATCTTTTCCAGCAACATATGAAGATGAACAAACAAGTAGCAGAGAACCAGGGCTTTTAATTGAGACTCTAGAGACTCCCCCAACCTGGTCAAGGTCAGAAATTGGACTGCACTCCAGAGTTCACAATCCTTTCTGCTGGGAAAGAGAGGGGTGAGCCTTAGTGCACCTGGCATGTGCACGAGGCACTAAGATTCATCCGTAATACAAGGGCTTTCCTCCTTCCCACTCCCAACCCCTCAATGGGCAGAGGAGCTCAGATGCAGAGAGGAGTAGACCAGAGGTCTTCCCTACTTCCAACACCTGTATTTTAGGGACAACAAAGCCTGGGTTGAGATCTGACCTGCTCTAGGATTCTTCTTGTCCGGGATATTTTCCCTCCAGGAAACCATGGCATTTATGCCTATCACAAGTTGTGGATCTTTGGCCTTGGAGAACAACAGCGTGAAAGTGGGTGAGGTCAAATTCCCCACTTCTCTCTCCACCTGCCTGCTTGTCTACTGCATGTCTCATTCAGTCTCTCTCCATGGTTTACTCAGTGCTCTGGGTCAGCTGTTGGGGCTTACCCTTAGGGGGATCCAGGTAAAGAGGCAGCTCCTGGGGTAACATGGCCCTCAGCCTCAGGGAGCAGCTGCTTCCCCTGCAGGGTATACAGCAGCTGAAGGAAGTTCTGGTGCCTGGAAAGAGGAAGGAAATGTGAAGGGAGGGAATCTCAGGTAGACAGCCTGAGTCTTAAGCTATGCTCTCAGCCTCACCTTTGCAATTTATCTTGCTCCTGTACTGCCTGCTGTTTCAGAGTTTCAAGTTTTTGATACAGCCGCTGAAGCTCCTGCTGAGTTCCAGTCTGACGCTCCCTTATCTCTGCAGAAACCTTTGCCAGACTCTGCAGATGCTTTTCCTATAGAGTAAGAGTGCAGGTGGGATTCATCAAATGCTGACATCTTAAAGCCACTCTCCCCCAACTCCTTCAAGTTAGACCTTGCTGGGGATTCAGATTCACTGATGGAAAGGGGTACCTGATCAAATCAAGTAGGAACAGAGGTCTAGAGAAAAGGAAAGACCCACCTGTTGTAGCTGCCACTGCTTTTGGGCTACTTTGAATTTCTCCATGGCCACCTGTTTCTGCAGTTAGCAGGGGAGAGGGACAGGGAGAAAGTTAGTTTATTTTTCCATTTTATTTTTTTGAGATAGCAAGGTGGTCTAACCCAGCCTACCTATCTTTTCCTTTTTCCCTCTCTCAAGTTTCCTAGGTGTACCTTGGCCTGGAGCTGCTCAATGGCCTCCTGGAGCTGCACATGCTTCCTTTGGGCCTCTTCCACTTGGGGTAGGGCCTCAGTCAGGGCACTTCTTATAGCCTCCACATGTTCCTGGTAAGTGGCCTTAAGCTCTTTCCATTGCTCCTTGGCTGCAATTGCCTTTTGCCCTAAAATGAAGCATGAGAAATGAAAGCATGAGTGAGGTTGCCCTGCAGCTGTCTCCCTGAAACACTAGGCCTCAGTCTTCCCAACAGTCACACAGAAGACCTAACTCACATCCTCCTTCCTTGCCCATTTAGGCCAGCCCCATTCTCAATCCCCTGCCCACTCACGGCTTGTGTCTTCAGAAGCCAAGGGGTCCAGTCCCTGGGCAGTTTCCTCTTGAGCCAGGAAATTCTGTAAAAAGTCTACTACTTGAAGCTGGCTGCAGAGTAGCTTGTCTTTCTTCCGAGAGTTCTATTCAAAGGAAAGGAAGAGACAGGGATATTCTTACCTCCTTGTACTACTGGCCAGTAAGATTGCCTTTTACTTTGTTCTTCATTACTGTTGTCTTCCATCTCCAGAAGAGATCCCAAGACCACCCCTCACTTTTGAAGAGCCAGCTCCCATCTTGTACATACCCTAACAAATTCAGCCAGGATCTCAGCTGGCAGTTCTACTTCTTCCTGTAGGCCTATAGGTTCTACAACATTTGCCACCTCAGCCAGGACCCTGGAGGGGCAAGGAAACAAAGGAGACTGGAGATTTCTGGGAGGTACATTCACAAAAGATGAGTGTATCAATGCTAAGAGTATCACCCTGAGCAAACCTACACAAAGGCCTGAGAAGCTTACAACCTGGGACTCAGACTAGTTTGTGCATGTGACATACGGTCATTAAACAGCACGAGGAAAATCAGCTGAGAAGGAATAATGAAAGGGCTTTGATTTTAACAGGGAATGTCTCACTGAATAAACTATAAATCAAGATCTGAAAGCAGGCAGGGAGATGTTCTTGGCAAGAGAAAAATAAGGGCAAAACACTGTTGAACCCTGGAAGCCTTCCTGGCAGGAAGCACTAGTCTTTGGGCAGGGTCTTAAAATACCTAAGGAAGGCAGAGGGCAGAATGCCTTGGTCTTGGGTCTCCAGGTTTTTCCTTGTTAGAGACCAGAGCAATCTACAACGGGGCAAGTATGGGAATAACATACTCCACTTGAAAAGGTTTTGTAGAGAGAGAACAGACTGAAATTTCAAAAGGCCCTTCTACGATGTCTCCTGGGAGTGGAAGGAGGATGGCGTGGTGATGTGGACCGACAGGGAGGGAACGGTCCCCTTCCAGGACACACGTCTAGAGAGAGTGCCGTGACTGGGAGGTGGTGAGGACTAGTCCCTAGGAGGCTACTCCGGGAGCGAGACAAGAGTCACCTGAGAAACAAAGACTGCGGTCAGAAGCCATTCACGATGGGGTCGAAAGCACAACAATTACACGTTGGGGAACTGCAAAAGCCGCCCGCGGCCGGCTCCCAGCTGCCAAATGGTCGCGAACACTTACCGTCGGGCTACAGCCTCAACTTCGGTCTCTGCTGCCTCCATCTCGGCGCCGCACTCGGGTACTTTCGGTTTTGGATTCACCCTAGCCTTCGCGCCAGGGCAGCCGATTGGCTGCTGGTTCGGTGGGCGGGAATTAAGAACACTCTGCACTCTCATTTGTGGTTACAGATTCACCTTCCGCGCTTTGACACAGGCGCAATTGGAGGAGGGTGTGGCGGGCGCACATTGATTTTGCGCGACAACTCCAAGGCGGTGCTGTGAACCCGAAGCGAGACGTGACCTTTGTGCGGCTCAGGCGGCTGCTGGTTTTTTCTCATTACCTGAGTAAAAAGGAAAAGAGGGCTCTGAGTTCTAATTTCAGAGGAAATAGCATTCACACTTCATTTACAATATTTACTACTACCGCAGTAGAAAGTAAGCCGCGGCTTTCAGGGTGGGAAAGAATACTGATCTTGGAAATATAAGAGGCACATTGGTGTTGAAGATTTTTAAAAGATGCTATCTAGGGAGAGAGAACCCAAGCAGAGCCCAACGTAATATCTCGGGTGACAGGATAAAGCTGGAATCCTGGGGCGGCAATGCTGAGCGTAGGGAAAGGAAACTGCTGATCAGAGAGAAAACTCGGAGTTCGGCAGGTTTTTATTTGTTTGGGGTTTTTTTGTTAATATTCAGCTAAGACCCTTAGCCTCATGTCTGAGAAAATTTCCCAAAACAGAAACTTAATCCCTGGGCATTGGGTATAGTACTCTGAGGAGTCTTGCAGTGGTACTGACAATAATTAGCCCTGAACTGATTGATGACTGTTTTAGGGTCACCTAACATCTTTAAAACAAGATTCTCCCCCACAAAAAAATTAAATTAAAGAAATAGAAAAACAAGACCCAAAAGGATCAAACTTAACAAGTCACTTGTGACAGACCAAATTCATGGAGAGAAAAAAATCACGACTAAAAACACAATTTTCGGTGGCTTTCAATTAAATACAAAGGTTGCTTAAATGAAAAAACTCAGAAAAATGAGTTGCTGATGAGAACTGAAATAAATATTAGAATCTACAGACAAGGACATTAAAACAGTTGTTATAACTATATTCCACAGGTTGAAAAAGATAAGCAGCAATATAATGAGAAAGATCATGGGTGGTTATAAGGATAAGGAGAAAGGGGCCACTCCTATTGTCAGTGGGATCTGTAAAATGGTATACATCAACTTTGGAAAACAATTTGGCAGTTTTTCAAATGTTATAGAGTTACCATGTTAAACACAATTTCATTCCTAGGTGTATATCCAAAACCAATGAAAACATAACATCAGGTGTCCATGGCACCATTATTCAGGAGATCTAAAAGCAGAACAAACCCACCACAAGCTGGTTAACTAAAAAGTGTACATTCCTTCAATGGAGTACTATTCAGCAATAACAAAGAAAGGGATACTAATATAAAATAGGGATAAACACTGAAACTATTTCACTAAGTGAAAGAAACCAGACACAAAAGAACACATAACTATATGAAATTTCTACAATGGGCAAATTTGTAGAAACATTATTAATTTACTGCTATTATTATATAATTCATTAAACTATCACTAGTCAAAGGCAGGAGGAGGAGGTTGGGAAAGACACTGGTAGAATATGAAGAGAGACTATGAATGGATGTGGGTTTTCTTTTAAAGAGTATAAAGTAAAATGTTCTAAAATGAAGTTGTGGAGAAAATAGAATAATTTTATACAAAAACAATTTTATGCTTTTAACGTGTCAAAAAAAGCTCTTAAAAATTATCAGAGTTGTAAAACATTAAGATTTAAATTTTTAGTGATGAAAACTACAATGTCATAGATGAAATTAGATGACATTAAAAGCAGATTAAGAATTGTAGCATAAGATAATGAAATTGAAAGGAGAGACCTAGAAAATATCCTAAACAGGTCACAGAATATTAAAAAAAAAAAGATCAAGACAACAGTAAATTTTGAGAAAACTTCTAACAGTTTTATAGAGTTGTAAATTGGGTTCCTAAATGACGTGCAATGGGAGAAAAACAAAATAAATAGTAATCACCAAAATATTGAAATTTGATGAAAATTATAAATTCACAAATCTAAGAATTTCCACTAGCAGAAGAAACACGAATGAAACTATATTAAATATATTATGGAATACAAAAATTACATAGGTCAAAATTACAAAGAAAAAAGTCTTAAAAGCATCTAGAGGAAAAGGACACACTACAGGAAAAGAATGATTACAGGAAATTTCTTCTTAGAAATAATGCAATAATAAGTCAGTGAAACAACATCTTTGAAGCACTGTTAAAAGAAGAAAGCAAGTTAATCTGAATTTCTATGTTCAGTTAACATCTTTCAGAAATGAAACTTGACACTTTTACTGAAAAAATTCAGATTCATGTTATAAGAAATATAAAAGAACCATTTCAAGAAGAAAAAATGACATTAGATTGGAATATGAATGTATGCAAAAGAAGGAAATGTTCCAGAAATATATATTTTTCTTAATATTTAAATCTTTATGAAAAAGAAAATGGACTATATAAATAAAATAATAATAATGTGATAGATTTTAATGGATGTGAAAAATAAAATATAGCAAAAGCCCCAGAGCTAGTATGTTACAAAGCTAATTCTGACACAATTATATCTGACACCAAACACTACGCTTTGTCTTATGTGTACATTAGAGTCAGACCTGAGAGAGTTTTAGTAATAAAACTCAGCCTTTGTTTTTTCATGTCATCAGCATCTTATTCTACTTGATGTCAATAAATCTTTGATTTGTTCTACTTACATACTATAGTACTGCTTCATCCAAGAAATTAGGTCTTATACTTTTTTCTGACACTTAAAAAAATTATTAATGAGGATTTCAGGTACTAGAACAGTTCAGAGAAGACATATCTTAGTACAAATAGATTGCTTACATACCCTTCTATCACAGTACTACAATCACCAGCATTTTTAACATTTCACATCATCAACCATATTTTCTATGCATGTTTTGTATGGTAGATGGAAGGGTTGTGGTGTGCATTTCAGAGATTCAAAGTCCAACTTTAGCTAAGCAAGGTGTATATCATCAGAGAAGATGAGTTGCCACCTGAAGATGCTTCTCATCACATTTCTTAGAGGACAACTCATAGAAATGGAAAAAACAAACCTCTAAAATAAGATAGGTCCAAATCCAATCTCAGTTTAGCTACCTAACCACATTTGTGATCTTAGATGTTGTACTTAGTGAAGAATTCAATTTTATAATTAAAGATAAAGATGAATATGCTTCCTCTCAAAAAATATAAAAGATAATTTTTGAAAAATGTTTCAACTAAATGACACATAGTGGACTTATTAACATTGTACTTTCTGTTTTCACCAACCCCTTTTGCAGTCATGTTTAAATAAATGCCGGCATATGAATAACTGCAGAAATGATTTCAGAATAATCTGTCATGCCTTTACTTATTAAAGGATTAAATGAATAAAACAAAGAATACCAGTCTGAACTAGGACTGGAAGTCCCATTTGACCCAGCTATTCCCCTGCTGGGTATCTTCCACAAAGAATTAAAAGAATCATACCACAGTGATATATGTGCACCCATGTTCATTGCAGCACAATTTGGAATAGCTAAAACTTGGAAACAGCCCAATTTCCCATCAACTGGAGACTGGATAAAGAAAATGTGTTTTTTTTGTTTTTTTTGGTTTTTTTTTTAATAAAATGGAGCACTACTCAGCCATAAACAATGAGAAACTAGAAACATTCATAGCTAAATGGATGTACATTGAGGCGATTGTAAATACCAAATATTTTCTCTAGTGTGAGAAACTGAAAGTGTAAATAAGGACTAAAAGGTATAATAGATAATGTGAAGAAAAGGGGCAAAGGGGAAGGGGAAGAGGGAGGTGTAGGGGAAAGGAAGGAAGGGAATGGAATTAATATGAGAAAATGAAAAAATTGAAACAAAGTTTGTAAATAGGGAAGGATGGAGGGGTTGAAGGGAGGGCAGGGGGATGGGGAAAAAATAAGAACCAAGAGAAATTATGTAAAGGTGCAAATTTCCAATGATTAATGTCATTATGTTGTATACCTAAAATGTACCAATAAAATTAATTTTTAAAAATCTTAAAAAAAAACAAAGAATACACTTCTTTTTTCAGTAAACCTGTCTCTTCCAACTGCATTAATGTTTAGTATCATGTGTAATCTTTACTTTTCAGAGTTCCCTGTCATTCATCAATGTCAACGTGATCAATAAACTTCAAATTCTAATTTTTTTTTCAGCAAAACAATAAATACCACACCAGATGCTTAACTTTTAGCACAGAAAGCTATTACTGCTCTTCCATGAACTATGATTCAGAGAGTCAATGTTAGCATGATGTAGCTACATCTGTGCTTTGCTGGAATTTTCACATCAAGATATTATGTTTTGTTTTAAGACGGAATGTCATGTTTAGCATCTAAATTGCAGATAATAAGGCAATTCTTGCCTTGGCTTGCTAGTTCCAGATGGATAGATTCTGACTTGCATTGCATACTGTTCAATTCTCTATTTAGTTTTTCATTCCTTTAACAATGCTCAGCATCCATGCAATTTGGACACGGACCATCTGAACTAAATTGCAAAGCCCTCATGAGAAAGGATGCCTCACTAGAGGCAAATGCCCATGAAGACGTACTGAATCTTTTCTAATCACAATCTCACCCTCCAGCATATTACTCTTTGTTTTCTGATAGTAATGAGCCAAAACACCATGATGAAAGCCTGTAAGCAAATGGGATTATTTTTAAGACTTAAGCTAATTTTTATGTATCTGTTACACTTATAATCATGTTTAAGTTGTTCTTATTGCTTCAGTCTAACTTTCCAGGGACATTATTTTACATATATACGTCTTTCCCTTTCATTGCAGTAAGAATTATATGTTGCTCTTCATAGTTCAAACATTAAGTTGTAAGCATTAAGTTAATTAGATTTTACCCATTCAGTAGCCATCAAGTTTCACTCACAATGTGTATTCCATGGATGTCACAACTGGGTGTTTTGGAAAAGAACAAAAACATAACATAGGGCAT